CTACACAGACTAGGACTTAAATACAGGGGATGATTGGGGAAACACAGGTGTATGGGATGACTAATCAACTAATTAACAAAACGAGGACAGGAACATGACCAAATAAGGGAACAGAAACAGGGGCAAAACATGACACAGACAGTCCATGATCCTGACAGTTATGTTAGTGAAACGTGGAATAGATAATTAACATGAATTACAGAATGTGTTTGTATTTGGTTGACCAGGTAGTTTTAATGACAGTAGCACTCAAGCTAATCTCCACAAGTTTGTGCAAAACCTGATGATTCTTGTTTCCCTGCATGAGCTGAGTATATTTAAGGAAGCAAGGAAATCTGAACATTTGTGCAAAGGTGTTCAGATGGTCAATGTCACACATTTTCGTGCAGCGATTGCAGAATCTTGCATATCTCTCTTCATATCCTGATTTTTTACATTTTTCTAAATTCTGATTTCAGTGCCAGCTTTTCAATGTGGTTTCAGACCCCACTATATGTTTTCTATTATAAACTCACATAAATACTGACTTGTGTAAGATTTTAAATTTGGATTCTCAATCGCGTCTTATCCTTTCATTGTCTCTCCCTCCTTAGGAAAGCTCAGAGGCGTATAAGTGTCCTGAAGCAACAGGTTGAAGACTCTTTAGAGAAAGAGCTCATCGCTCATCAGTACCTTGCCAACATTGTTACACTTGCTGAAAGAACCACCCATGAAAGAGACCAGCTCATGCACATGGTACTTTTACAGAAACTCTCACACATGCTGTGCGAGCTGCCATCTGTTTACATCTCCATATGTCTTGATCTTTGCTTCTTGTTAGTTCTGCTCTGTGCTCTTCTTCACCAGACAACTTAGGTAACATAAGATGGTTACAGAGGTCATAGCTGTGTTTTTCATTAATGTGCCGATTCGAAATAATCATCCCTGAGAACTGTTCCTACACCCGATCAAGTTGTTTTTATTGAAAGTATTAAAAATGTTAAAGAATATTGGAATAATTCATGTTCTAGTTACCCATACGGAGGCAACCTTATCATTGCACCTCTACCAATAAAAAAGTATTTAATAACTGTACACATGACAGAATGAAGTCATAGGCAGCAGATCAGTTGGGCCCCAATTACTATTTTATGAAAGGTTCATACTATCCCACATCACAAATGCCCAATTCCTCGTACTTTATTTTAACTTACAAAGCGTGTTTTAGCCGAGGACACACCATATTACCTAAATTCATCTGCCTTAAGAGTTTACATTCAAACCCTGCATCGAATCATTTCACATAGCAACTTTTGTGTTTGAGGCAGAGCCTTAAGCTTAGGGATTATGAAAGTTTCATACTCCTCTTTTTCCAAGCAGTGAGCCTCACTGCTGCTCGGGGAAATGTTTGTACTCAACAGAATGTTAGTACCCATAAATCTAGTCAAACTTTTAAAGATTTGCTCTGCTGCTCTTGCTTTGCTGTTTTCCCACTTTTATCAAAGTAACTGGCAACTCTCTCTCTCTCTCTCTCTCTCTCTCTCTCTCTCTCCTTGCTCTTGTCCCTACAACTTCTCTTTAATGACTATCCTCAATGTCCCTCTTTTTCCTCAATCTGCTTCCCTGTAGTTGTGTAACCCTTCCTGTTCCCTTTCTCCATCCTCAGGCTTCATCTCTAGAGAAAGACAAGCAGGGCATCCTCACACGCATCATAGAAAGCACTGTCAGCCTGGGAAAACTTCAAGAAAAAGTAAAGGTGAGGCCTGCAATTCACAGACTGCCAAGGCAGTGAGTCGAAAGGCTTTGTTTGTTGAGCTTCAGATTCTAGATTCTAGAAAAATTAAGAAAGGAATGGTTCTCAACCATAAGGCCAGGGCCCAATAAATGGGTCTCAGAAAACCTCCAAGGAGGCCTCAAGATGAATTAAAGTTATATAAAATAAGACAAAATAAGTATTAAGTTAAGGCAATCCAACTAAATATCAAGACAACAACTTACGTTTTACACCCTTGTATTAGGCAGCCTAATTAAAAAAATGTGATAACTTCATGAGCTTTACATACATTACACAATATACATTTACCCAGTTCTATCAAGCTCTAAAATATTTTATCGGTTAGAAATTGTAAGTAATAGATATTTTAAAAATCCTTATCCAGTAGTTCACCAACAACTGGAAAAGTCATGTGGCATTTGAATATTGTGGACACTGGGGCCTTTTGAGTCAAAATGGTTGAAAACCACTGAATGAGAGGATTCACAAACACAAAAGTACAGATATACAGTAGTACACTCACAAGTTACACTTCATTTTAAGGTGACACTGTTACAGTGTAATTACACAAAAAGTACTACGTAATAATAACTATACATACTGTAGGGGTTAAGGTTTAGCTGCTTGTAATTATGCATAATTTACTGTTATTACTATAGTACATGTAATGTGTACTGTAAGTACGTCACCTTAAAATAAAGTGTTACCCACTCACACACCAACCTTGAGGTATGTTTGTATGAAGAGCATGCTGAGGGGCAAGAGTTAGTTTTTAGCATTGATTGCTTAACATGCTTATGAAAGATTCAACAAGGAGACAGAGAGAATCTAAGACACACACACACACACACACACACACAGAATGCACACATACACACAGCCTAATTAAATGACCTTGCCCGTCTGACATATCCAATAGGAGGTCAATCCAGACACACAAGCCCCCCATACTCAGCAGATCTATAATTAACATTTCAAATGGAGGGTTGTTTCAGTTGCAGAGTGAATGTTTCCCTCTCTCCTTTAACTGCGCTTCAGTTCAGGTACTGACTGTATCCATTTGGATGGGACTTCCATGTGATTGGACGGCACAGAATGAAAGTGTCAGTCTATATTTGTGATATTTCCCTTGAGTGAGATCCGCTACCTGTTTATTTCTACTGTGATGGACAAAAGAGTCCAAAGTAATTTTTTAAGCCGCAAGGATGAGTTTTATGCCATAGACATTCAGATAGTGCCTATGGCCTATGACCTGTATGGAGGCCCAGAGGCCCTGCTTTTTTCAGCACTTTTTTTTTCAGATTTAGCAAAATGAAACACTGTAAAATTTGAGCTATTTTGGTAGCAGGCAGAATAAGGAGACTGGACAAAATGTGTAATAAATAATCAAACAACGGTCAAGAAGATGTCCTTATAACTTTGTGAATAACAGGCCTAAATCTGTGTAGCTTTGTGAACTTCTCCATGTTATGGAGGGAAGAATTTAGTGCCACATTAAAGCTGTTTTGGTATGCCGTTGATTTATGAGACTGTGTATGAATATTCTGTAAAGCATTTTTCACTGGCTGCAAGTGGTGTGGCACAACTCAGATTGTTCCCATTGTAATGAACAAAGCTCTTTACAATAAGCATGCTACGTTGTGTTGTTGATTACAATGGGATTGCTATAGTGTTGTTGTGTCATGGTGCACTGCTCATTTACAATGTAGACCCAGTGTAACACTAGCAGTTGAGAAAGAAACAGTGTGTCTGAGACCTCTGCATTCTAAACCAGAAAATGAATGCAAGTAATTTTTATCTTATACTTCTGCAACCGAATACCTGTCTGTTGGTGCCGTGATTGTTTGTGAACTGTTTTATTAGTTTTAAAGTCGCTGTGCAGACCACTGAGCTGTGATATTGCATGGATTAGATTATTTTCTGTACCACTAGTTGGTCTCATCACAGACGAACAGATTGACAGTCGTTACATCTATCCTGAAGTGCTCTCTTTTTCCCTCTTATTTTCATTCTCTTTTCCATTCCTTCTGCTTTTTTTCCCCATTCCTTTTCCACTCTTCTTCAGATGTCTCTTCAGCTAAATATTTAGCACATACTTATATACACCAATATTGACTTCTCGTCCATTTTCTCTTAATTACCATCTGCTTTTACCTGCTTTTACATCACCAATTGTGTTTTGTGAAGAAAGTAAACTGAGTTTTAAAACTCTCTGATGTCTTAGTCAGGGGTCACATGCCCCTGCGGTTCTTGAGTTCAACTCAATGATCTGCTCACAGCAGTTAACAGACCACTGCAGGGTAAGATTGTCAGTGAATAACAAGATAAATCTTAATCGGTTTCCCTTATGGCTTCAGAAGACTGATGCATGAGTCATGGACTACTTTTATTATAGAATTTAAATTTTTGGGTGAATTATCCCTCTAATAATTCAGTGTATGTTTTGGGACCCCTATGATTCTCTGTCGCACTTCCTGCTTTCTTTCTTTTTTCTTCTTTATTTCCTGTCACATTTTCCATCTCGTTTTTCCCACCTTTTCTTCTTTTCCCCCTGTTGTGTTCTCTCCCTACTTTCCTCCACCCTCCACCCCTCTCTTTCTCTATCTCTCCTCCACTCTCTCTGTTTGTCTCTCTCTCTTCATCTGTCTCCTGGTGGCTAATTAGAAAGAACAGATGTTAGGCTCACGCAGAGAAAATACATGCACAAAACCACTAATCACTACCTCACAGAGAAGCACAAGATGGTAAAAGGAAGTGAGATCAAGAACGTAGAACACAAAACTTGAAGAAAAAAACAAAAACCAAAGCAGTTCGTATAAGCAAAGCAGCAGCATAACTGCAACAGCAGCTGCTTTCACACTGACACTGTAGATAAAATCAAAACTTTGAGTATTTCTTTTAATTACAACTGCAATTATTATTTATTTGGACTTAAATAAGGCCTTTAAAGCAAAACTGCAAGAAAACAATTTTTGAGGATAAAGTGCATACAGTTACAATAGATAGCATGTCTCTACGATTCAGTATCCTGAGAGTTGTTCTTGTGTCTGTGTTTGTATGAGTATTTGTGAGCCACAGTGAGAGGACAGGGTACCGTGTGTGCTTGTCTGCGCAAGTGTTCTGGCATGGTTCCTTCCCAAAGGGTCAGAATGGCATTCTTCTTACCGCCCAACTAAACAAACTGCCATAAGCTGCTGTTCTTCTGCTTTTGCTCTAGACACTCACATACATACACTCACAAAAGCATGAGGTATGTCATTCATATATTATCATGTGGTCCATTTGCAGCTCTGTATGGGCACAGGCAATGGTAGACAGCTGAGAAATATGCTGATAACCCTTTTTCTTGCGTCCATTTATATACATATATTTGCTTTTGCATAAGTCCTGCAGTTATGATTTACCACATATGTCCTTCTAGAGTTTTCCTACATTCTTGCAGATGGCTGAATAATAGATGAACTGTAGGTGATTTATGGGTTATGAGCGGGCCAATCTGCAGATTTTTCCTAATTTTCTGAACCATTGTTTGGGGAAAATCAGTTAAATTTAGATGGATTTAAACAAGGTAAAATGTGATGGGAGTACAGTTGATGTCCCTTTACACCAGGGGTTCATAAATGTGTGTCAGTTGAACCCCTTTGATGACCTAAAGTAATTATTTGAGGTAACCTTTATTTATTTATTTATTTTTTAAATAATGGTAATCTTTTAAAATATACTGAATTTTACAACATCTTTGTATGTTTAGTATGAAATATTTTTGTTAATATTCATAATTTTATTACAATTTTAAGAAAACTTAAATTTTTATTTATGGTGGCAAATATATTTATTTATAAAATACATATTCCACCTGGAATTAGCTGAATTACTTGCGTTCTAGTGACCTATTTCAGCAGCAGGAGGGCTTTCTGTTTCCAGCATGTGAGCTCTGTTCTGTGCACACAGAAAAGTTCACATGCTTCCTTCATTCCATCCTGATGCAAGCTGTCTCTATAGTAACAGCAGGAACACAGGAGATTGGCTGACTTGAGTCTTCATGGCTCCTGAGAGCTCTGACAGTATTTGTGCAAAGCTACAGTCTGTTTTGCTACTTACTATATGTACAGTGGAAAAGAATCACCCCCCTTTAAAATAATCACATTTTGTTGCTTTGCAGCCTAAAATGAAGACGGACAGTTTTTGATTTATCCAGCTGTGTTTACTCAGTGCAACTTGTAACATCCAAGTGAAAGATATAACACCAACATGTCAGAAAAAATAAATAAAAAAATAAAATTACTGAATCACTGAGTTGGAAAAAGGATCACCCCTTGCGTCAGTATTTTGTTGAACCACCTTTTGCTTTAATTACAGCCTTTAGTCTGTTGGGATTAGGGGTGTGCGATATACAGGTGCATCTCAATAAATTAGAATGTCGTGGAAAAGTTCATTTATTTCAGTAATTCAACTCAAATTGTGAAACTCGTGTATTAAATAAATCCAATGCACACAGACTGAAGTAGTTTAAGTCTTTGATTCTTTTAATTGTGATGATTTTGGCTCACATGTAACAAAAACCCACCAATTCACTACCTCAACAAATTAGAATACTTCATAAGACCAATAAAAAAAACATTTTTAGTGAATTGTTGGCCTTCTGGAAAGTATGTTCATTTACTGTACATGTACTCAATACTTGGTAGGGGCTCCTTTTGCTTTAATTACTGCCTCAATTCGGCATGGCATGGAGGTGATCAGTTTGTGGCACTGCTGAGGTGGTATGGAAGACCAGGTTTCTTTGACAGTGGCCTTCAACTCATCTGCATTTTTTGGTCTCTTGTTTCTC